TGACATTGTTTTACATGCTTGAAAACCCCCAAATGGTCAGTTTAGTAGAAGAACAATTGAATTTTGCTATCTATTCCTGCATTCTGTCTGTTTGATATGTCATGTGACCCCTGGGAAACCCCACTGTACATTTATAAGAGAACAAATGGAAAACTGAATACAACTTGGACCCGAAGTCTAATTAGAAAATGAAAACAGATCCTCTCTCCTCCCTAGTGAGAGAAAAACAACCCTATGATCTCAAGATGCTGACAGTGGAAGGGACTAAGACTTTATCTTAGTGTTGTTATGAAAATGGTTTTGACCTTCCAGGCCCCAAAGGGTCTCAGTGAGTCTCCAAGATCCTCAGACCACATTTTAAGAATTGCTGCCTTAACTAGATCCACCCATACTTGACTATCCACTCTTACCAATCCTGTAAGCCTACAATACATGTTTATTTTTTCCTTGAACAGCTGGAGTTGGATTTCTGTTGCTTGAAACTTAAAGAATTCTGATTAATACACAAATAAACCCTTCATGGTTCTTCCTGGTTTGGGAAAAAATTTAGGAAAGCTTAGGGCAGTCTCACGGATGCAGCTTTGAATCTTGTTTTCTCTCTGTACTTCCTTCCTTCTTCCTTCTAAGGCTTGATTTTTACTTTTGTTTTATAAATTCAGTGAACTGGGCAAAGCAGCAAAAGTTAGGTTCTATCTGGTTTACTTCCAGCAAACCAGAGTTGTATGGTTCTATTTCTTTTCCAAAGTATCTCATCTTGGAGTTGGGCTTTCACCTTTATCAGACAAAGGGAACAGATGCTGACTTGGCAGCACAATTCTTGCCAGTAAGAATGAATCAGATTTCATGTTTTCCCTACATGAATCTTTATCTTGGATTATTTAATGCTGAATCCACACCTTGGTCATTCATCCATCCACTGTTCACCCTTTCTTGATGAGAAGATACTGTAGAGAGGCAGTGAATTATGTTGTTAGTAATATGAGCCTTTCCACATTGTTTCTCTCTTCCTCTTTTAGAAGGTGATATATGTTTCCAACCATTGGGCAAAACTATGATTATAATTATAATTAAACTGGTAGTTTGAAGGGCCTTGAACAGTTTTTCTCTGACTGCCCTCCTACCTCTGAGGGCATGCTGCTTGGACAGGGGAATAACTATCTAGAAAGGCAACACAGCCTGTGAGATGTTGCTGGTTTTGGAGGCAAGAGATAGATTTAAATCTTGACACTAATTTATATATATAATCAACAACAAACTGCAGAAAATTCTTAAAGAGATGGAAATACCAGACTACCTTACCTGCCTCCTGAGAAATCTGTGTGCAGGTCAAGAAACAACAATTAGAACCAGACATACAACAGACTGGCTCAAAATTGGGGACGGAGTACATCAAGGCTGTATATTATCACCCTGCTTATTTAACTTATATGCAGAGCACATCATGAGAAATGCCAAGCTGGATGACTCACAAACTGGAAACAAGATTGCTTGGAGAAATATCAAAAACCTCAAATACCAAAAGTCTTTTTGGCCGAAATAGAAGAGGAACTAAAGAGTCTCTAGATGAATGTGAATGAGGAGAGTGAAAAAGCTGGCTTAAAACTCAACATTCAGAAAACTAAGATCATGACATCCAGTCCCATCATTTCATGGCAAACAGATGGGGAAACAATGGAAACAGTCACAAACTTTATTTTCTTGGGCCCCAGAATCAGTGCAGATGGTGACTGCAGCCATAGAATTAAAAGATACTTGCTATGTCTTCTAAGAAAAGACATAGAAGAAAACCTATGACAAACCTATACAGTGTATTAAAAATCAGAGACATTACTTTGCCAATAAAGGTACATATAGTCAAAGCTATGGTTTTTCCAGTGGTCATGTATAGATGTGAGAGTTGGACCATACAGAAGGCTGAGCACTGAGAAATAGATGCTTTTGAACTGTGGTGTTGGAGAAGACTCTTGAGAGTCCCTTGGACTGCAAGGAGATCCAACCAGTCCATCCTAAAGGAGATCAGTCCTGGGTGTTCATTGGAAGGACTGATGCTGAAACTCTAATACTTTGGCCACCTGTTGTGGAGAGTTGACTCACTAGATCATGGATTGCCCTGACCAAAGACCTGAAAATATAAAGCTTCTAGAAGAAAACCTAAGAGAATATGTTTGCTAAAATGTGCTAGACAGAACAAACAAGCGCTAAGTAGAAAACAAAAAAAGTTACATCGAACTTTATAAAAATTTGCCATTTCTGTTCCTCAGAAGATACCATCAAGAAAATGAAAAGGTAAGCCACACATATAGAGAAATATTCACAGTATATATATCTATATCTATATCCAGAAACTATCAAGAATTCCTATAATTGAGTAATAAAAAGACAACTCAATAAAAATGAGCAAAAGACTTGACCAAGCACTTTGTAAAAGAAGATATATGAAGGGCTAATGAGCATATAAAAAACAATCAAGTTCCCTGAGTGAATTCAAATTAAAACCACAATGACCACTTCTATCCATAAGAATGGCTAAAAGGAAAAAATAACTTATAATACTATGTGTTAGCAAGAATGTGGAGCAAGGGACTGTAACTGTAACATGACTGGCACAACCATTTCAGAAAATTATTTGTCAATTTCTTATAAATTTAAATGTCTGCCTACATTATGATATAGAAATTCCACTCCTGGGTAAATAAAAGCCCGGATAAAAAATCATAAATAAAAACAAAAGTCAATAAAATTACATGTGTATAAAAGTTATATTCATTATAGCCCCAAACTGAAAACAACCCAGATGACTGACCGTCAACAGGAGAATGGATAAACAAACTGTGGTTTAACCATTCAACGGAATCCTACTCAACAGTAGGAAGGAGCTAACTACCAACATACACAACAACATGGATGAAGCTCAGTTGCATTATGTTGACTGAAAGAAGCCAGTCATGGAAGAGTCCATTCTCTGTGATGATTCTGTTTGTGTGAAATTCTGGTTTAGCAAAACTAATCTACAGTGGGAGAAATCAGAATAGTGGTTGCTACTGTTGGTAAGGTTGGACTAAGACCAAGTGTTGCCAAAACTTGGCCTCTGCTCACCAGTGATGAATAGAAACACAGAGCCAGAGTTTCAGGTGGAGTAGACAAGAGAAGCTTTAATTGCTTTGCCAGGCAAAGGGGGCCACAGTGGGCTAAGGCCCTGAAGACTGTGTGACCCACCTTTTAGAGAAGAGAGAGGAGTTTTAGTGTCCAAGGAGCGGGGCGTGATCAGCACGTGGAGATTGGTTGACATCAAGGTGAAGTTTCAAGCATCATCAACCTTCTGGTTTCAACTAGTTTGTGGTCAGCAGTTTTCACGTGGAGGGTGATCTGCTTCCTGTAAAAACTGCTTCAGAATGTGTGTCAGGCCTTTAGCTGTATCTTTCAGGAAACTGAAAGTTTAGTGATTCTCTTGTGTGGCAGAATTATAGTCTAAGTTGTTACCAGTTCCCTAGCCCAATAGCTATTCTTTGTTTCTCCATCTTCACATTTCCCATTCATTAACTCTTGAGTCAGCATTTTACCTGCTGGGGCTTGTACACGATTTCAAAAGGGCAAGATTTCAAGTGACAGGAATGTTCTCTACCTTGGACTGGTGGCTACACAGGTGTATTATGTGTCAAAACTCAGAGATGCACTCTTCAAATATATTGGGTTGACCAAAAAGTTCAATCAGATTTTTCCATCCAAGCAAACTTTTTGGCTAACCCGATATTTTTAATAAAAGCATTAGTTTGACACATGATCTAGTGCTTCCACAGCACATCACCTACATTTGATCCCTGGTCAGGGAACTAAACCCCACATGCCACAACTAAAGATCTTGCATGCCACAATGAAGACTGAAGATCCCACATGCCACAACTAAGACCTGGTGCAGCCAAATAGATAAATAAATTTTTGTTGTTGTTCTAAAACAGCATTAGTTCAAAAGAAGAAATAGAACCCCTGTGGTTTGTTCAGACCACATTTGAAATGCTGTGTTCAATTTTAGTACATTTTAAAAACAATAAATCAAAATATATTCAGATCTGGGTCCCCAGGAGGAAGAAGGATCAGGAAGTGATGATGCAATAAGAAAGGTAAGGAATGAGGGAGGCGCAGTCTAGAGAGCGGACACAGGAAGGTATCTTGTCATTCTAGTCATTCATTGGGAAAGCAGTTCTGTAGCTAAATATTTGCCTATAGTCATTCTTCGAAACTCTAGAGGGTATAACACAGACAAGTGGGTAAAAGGTACAAAAAGAAAAATTATTCCAGATACCAGGCAATGAGGCTGCTGAGCAAAGCAAAACTTGGGCAGTCAAGAGGAAGCCGAGCCTGGACAAGAGGTGGCAGAAGCCTAAACCACACGTGCTGTGGGGATGGAGAGCCGGAAAAAGAGAGTGGGTTTGAGAAATGGCAGGAAGTACAGCTGGTGTGTGTGTGTGTGTGAGAGAGAGAGAGAGAGAGAGAGAGAGAAAGTGTGTGGGAGAGAGATGGAAAGGAGAACAGTAAATTAAGAATGATTCTCACATTTTCTCTAAGAAGACATTGTTAGTCTTAGTATGTGTCATAGGATCTTATGAATCATGAATTTGTTTTTAAATGTTAGACTTAAAAACTGTGCAATTGTGTCTGACTAAGAATTGAAATAGATTTTAAAGAAAATGGGAATGAGTCACAGAGCTGTTGGAAACGAACCGGAAGCCAAACCACACACCTGCGTAACGCTTCAAAGCAATAGTAAGCAGGGAAGCTGGCCCTCCCAGCCCCAGCACACCACCCTGGTTCAGCGTCGGGCACTTACTTAATCTGACATGTCTCTTGTTTATTTTGTGGTTTATGTTGTCTATCTCTGTCCGCTAGAATGTAAGCTTCCTAAGAGCAAGGATGTCGTGGTCTTGCTGCCGGATGCCCAGCGACTAGCACACAGATGGTGCCCAGTCAACACGTGAGGCTTGGAAGGAGGTTTCGGGCAGAGTTTATTCGACGATGGCTGCCTGGTCAGGGAGAATGAAGACCTGCAGAGACACAAGCGGGAATATGCTAGCTATTCACAGATGCCGCTATCAGGTGTTTGCTTCCAAGTCTAAGGCGCTCTCCCCACGTCCTTGTGGTACTCATGCCTCGAGTCAGTGCAGGTCCCACAAGCCCCCACTTGCTCCAGCTGCTGCTGATCAAACAGCCCAGTCAGGGCTCCAGACAGACCAGGGCTGCCAACACCCGTGTCCTGTCCTGCCTGGGCATCTCTGGTGCCAGCGTGGGAGAGGCTACAAGAACCTGCTGGGCACTCAGTTCAGCTCAGTCGCTCAGTCGTGTCCAACTCTTTGCGACCCCATGGACTGCAGCACACCAGGCCTCCCTGTCCATCACCAACTCCCAGAGTTTACTCAAACTCATGTCCATGGAGTCGGTGATGCCATCCAGCCATCTCATCCTCTGTCATCCCCTTCTCCTCCAGCCTTCAATCTTTCCCAGCATCAGAGTCTTTTCCAATGAGTCAACTCTTTGCATCAGGTGGCCAAACTCTTGGAGTTTCAGCTTCAACATCAATCCTTCCAGTGAACACTCAGGACTGATCTCCTTTAGGATGGACTGGTTGGATCTCCTCGCAGTCCAAGGGATTCTCAAGAGTCTTCTCCGACACCACAGTTCAAAAACATCAATTCTTTGGCACTCAGCTTTCTTTATAAGTCCAACTCTCACATCCATGCATGACTACTGGGAAAACAATAGCTTTGACTAGACGGACCTTTGTTGGTAAAGTAATGTCTCTGCTTTTTAATATGCTGTCTAGGTTGGTCATAGATTTTCTTCCAAGGAGCTAGGCACTCACAAATATGCAATTCAGAAATGTGAGTACTACTGGACCACCCTTGATCAAGCGGGGACAGACAGTGATGGAGAAATATTTCCCCCTACTGTAATTAAGGCTGGTAGTCCTGGGAAGACACCATGCAGGAGGCGCCTCACAAATTTCAGGCAAGATCAAGCAACATCTGTTGCAGAGGCCAAAGTGATAATGCATCCGTATATTGGTTTTCCCTTTTCCCTGGTTCCTAGTTCCACTCCGCCCTTCTCCACTCTTCTGTGGGATCATTTCCCAAATAACCCACTTGCATGTGTGCGTTAGTCTCAGGCTCTGCTTTCTGGGTGACCCAGGCTAAGACAACAATCCAGTTTTCATTTCCTTGAACCTGAAAGTGTTCTGTTGTTTCAGGAAAACCCCCTATATATAGGTCAGACTTCTCTGGCCTCAAGAAGGACACCTCAAAACCCTTTAACTGCCTGGTTCCCTGAAGTTCCGAGGCAAAGTGAGGATAAGCAAAGTGGTACCCAGGAAAAGACAGGGTCCTGGGTCCTCAGCAGCTACCGTCCAATGGGTACTGGCAAACCCTCTCTGAATAGCAGCCAAGGGCAGCTGTCATTGGAAGTGGAAGGTGAGTGACAAGCTGGGGATGGCAGCTGACTGGAAGCACATTGATGAGCTGGACAAGTGGGTGGCATGGAGATTTCTCATCTTCCGTGCCGTTGAAGCCAATCGTTGGTCAAATCCCTCTCCGTTGCCTTCATGAATCACGGTGAAGGCTTGCATGTCCTCAAGACTAAGCAATAAATGTTTGCCCAAATTGTTTTCTAGGAACTTGGAGTTTGCTGTGTCTGGTTCAAGCGGAGCTAGTTAAGACTGATTAGAACCACCAACCCTCCAACTGGGCATGCACAAGTGTCCCCCGTGTGACCTCTTGAAGGCAAAGGTCACTCCACCCTCGGATGGTGCTATGTACCTGCACGTTTAATGTGGGGAGGCCTGGAGTCACGACTGTGCAGAATGACAAATACTGCCCCTCCCCCAGACTGCCCACGCCTCAGCTCACACTGCTTATTTATGCTTTATGCCATAAATACCCAAGCCCCTTGCCTTTGAGGAGGTGAGTCTGAGACAGGTTCTGCCGCCTCCTCACGCAGCTGATTTGTGAATAAACCCTCTCTCTGTTGCAAGCCTCGGTGTCTCAGTGCTTTTGCTTGCCGCACATCAGGCAACAGAAACCTGAGTGGTAACGGCTGCGTATCCAAGCAAACCAGTGAGATCACCAAGAGGGGAGAGAGGCCGTGGGGCTGGAGACGCAGCACAGGCAGGAACAGCGAAGCTCCTTCCTCTGGTGGGGTCTGTGTCTCATTCCCTGGCCTTTCTTTCTATTTGTTGAGCTGAGGTTCACATAACAAAATCGACTGCTTCCCAGTGTACGTTCAGCGGCGTTTGGTGCAGTCCCGTGTTGTACAATTATCACCTCTACCTAGTTCCAAATAATATCCGCCACCCAAAAAGGAAATTGCATTCCCCTTAAGGTGTCAAGTCCCATTCTCTCACCCCCCTCCCTTTCCCTGACCCCCCTGGCTACAATGAATCTGCTTCCCGTCTCTATGGATATGCACGTGAGTGGAATCATGCAGTCCGTGTGACTTCTGTGTCTGACTTCTTCCTCTCAGCATGTTTTCCACGTTCATCCATGTTGTAGCATGGGTCAGAAACTCATTCCTTTTAAGACTGAATGATATACGATGTGAGGCATCACGTTTTGCTGATCTGTTTATCACATGATGGACATTTGTGTTGTCTCCGCCTTCTTCTGACTATTGTGGTTAGTGCTGCTGTGACCATTTGTTGCAAGTATGTGTTTGGGTCCCTGTGTTGGAGTCTGGGTTTATGCCTAGGAGTGGAATTGCTGCCCATCCATTTTCACGTGGGCTTATTTTTTTTAACCAGTGAACCTGTTTAAGTCCCAGTGACTCTGTTTGACATTTGGTTTCCAGAGGAAATTGATAACCTCTTTATACCAAACATCTGTAAAAGGACTTATGTGACGATGTAACTGATTCATCCCTTGTTTCCATGGAAGATTGGGTCCAGGACTCCGCCATGCTCAAGTCCCTCATATGAAATGATGTAGTACAGTGAGCACCCCAGATCCATAGGTTCTGCGTCTGTGGATAGGGAGAGCTGACTGTACATCCATTTGGCCAAAGATGAATAAGTTGACTTCTGAGGATGTCTGAGAGAGCTGACTGAAGTACATCGCCATCTCCCTTTCCTTCACAATAAGAATCGCAGTCTTACTATGAAAAAACTGACTCAGATGGGTTGGTGAATTTGGTTGAGGGTGAACCCTATGTGTGTGTCTATGAGCACAAATGCTGGATTTGGGTACAGCTATGATATCATAGAATTGATGCTTTTGAACTGTGGTGTTGGAGAAGACTCTTGAGAGTCCCTTGGACTTCAAAGAGATCCAAACAGTCCATCCTAAAGCAAATCAGTCCTGAATATCCATCGGAAGGACTGATGCTGAAGCTGAAGCTCCAATGCTTTGGCCACCTGATGCAAAGAACTGACTCCTTGGAAAAGACCCTGATGCTGGGAAAGATTGAAGGCAGGAGGAGAAGGGGACGACAGAGGACGAGATGGTTGGACGGCATCACCGATTCAATGGACATGAGTTTGAGTAAACTCTGGGAGTTGATGATGGACAGGGAGGCCTGGTGTGCTGCAGTCCCTGGGGTCGCAAAGGGTCGGACACGACTGAGCGACTGAACTGGCTGACTGATGAAATCACTTCAGGGAAGCAAGCCAGCAGTGTCTCTGTATCCTTATTTCTACATTCCCTTGTGGGAAGTCCCTCAGCTGGGTGACTGGTTATTTGTATCGGTTACCATGTAAGCATCATCTGGAACAAATCTTGAAAAAAACACAGGGAAAAATAGGATGGATTTGATATTACAAAGCTTAAGGTCAATTCTCCAAATGGAAACAAACTACCTGCACTGTGACTCGTTGAAGGTTTATCTGTTTTCCAAAGTGTGAATGCCCTGTAGACTGAATTCAGAAAAGTCTCACTGAGGCAGTTTTAAGACATTAAGTCACCATTGGCTTTGATTAGAACCAATTCTAAGAAACGGACACTGTTTTAACAAAAAAATGTCCCAGAGTTCTCTTTGGGCACACTATTCTATTTTGAAAAGTTAAGCGTGTGTCTGAGTATACATGTTAGTGGGGGACGAATCTGTGGTCAAGGCTGAGATGTGAAACGCTAACGGGGACAGACAACACGTTAAAAACATCCATGGCCCACCAGGCCTTGGCCCCTCACCTTTTAATTCAACGCAAGAGCTTTTACTTGCCGTGTGTCCAGGTGTCCAGGTAGTTCTGCAAGAGAGATGCTCTTCCCGTCCGCCATGGTGTCTCTCCTGCTGAGAGCTCTCAAACACCCTCCTCTCAGATTTTCTGCTTGGAGGTCACCGACAATGAAGCGATTTAAACACAGGCTGCATTGCTGAGGTGTTTAAGGTTTTGTTCATAAATCTCTGTGGGAACCTTGCACAGGCCCTGCTTCAATTATTTTCTTTCAGAATCTCAAGGTCGACAGGAACCACAACCCTTTGGGAGACAGCTTGCTATTTTGATTTTAACTCCCCTCATCACCAATCTGACAAAGTGTTTTGATGGTAATGGTTTTCATGAGAAAGCTGAATTTGCGTCTTGGGGTTTCATGCATATTTTAGTAATGTATGCAGAAGGGAAACTGCAAAGAAACATGGAGAATGTTAGCATTGAGAATTTAGGGGGAAAAAATTAGTGAAGATTCCTAGGAAGACTCCAAGTTCTAAATTCTACAATTCCAGACAAAGGTTTCTTTACCATCTCATCCCCACAAAGATAGCATTCCCAGAGCACCTATAGCTATAGCTCTTTCATTTACCTGGCATTGTGCAGCGTAATCTTCTCTTAAACCTCACGAGTGGTGTTTTAACTCCTGCCTCCTAGATGAAAGAACTGAGGCACAGGAGGAAGCAGAGCATGCTGGCCAGAAGCGTGGAATCAGAAGGAAACAGAACTGGGGTCAAATCCTATCTCCACCTCTGTCAAGTTATTTGATCTCTCTTCTCTCAGTTTCCATGTCTGTAAAATGGAACCAAAGAAAACTTTAGTAACCAGGTCTTTTGGTGGCTGAGAGGATTAAATGAG